GAACGTTCTCAACAAGGGAAATGATCTAGCTTCGTTATCTGTCTTTTTATATTTTTTAAAGTTTTACAATTATATTAGTGTTCCCTAGGTGGATTATTTGTTTTTATTTATATTTATTCATCTATTTTGTCTTGTGTTAATATTGTTTCTATTTTGGATTTGCCTGTACTTGGCTGTTATATTTAATACCGTACATGTATAAGTTTCGTTAATCTGTTTGTGTGCTATTTTTCATTATTATTTCATTATTACTGTATGTATTATCTGTGTTAGCCTGTTATTGGCTTCTTGCTGTTGGCAAACACGTAAATACATTAATTGAATTGAATTGAATTATTATTTAGTTTTATTTATTTTATTTATAATCATTAAATTTAATTATATTACTTAGGTATCGTATTTAACCCATTTACTTGTGAAATATTATTCAATAAATGAATCAAATTATTATTATTAATATGGTACATTTATATATTTAGTTTCATTTGTTTGTTTGTTTTACTTTATTATTGAAATAAATTAATTACTTATTATTATTTTTTCCTGTACTCTGGTTTAGTGCTTGGCTGTTATTGGCCTTTTTGGCTGTTGTCAAGCACTTAAATAAATGAATTGAATTGAATTGATTTGAATTATTAATCTTGTCTTCTTCGTTAATCTAATTTGCTTTTTCGGATAATAAAAGTGCCTGCAATTCCGTAACATATTTTCAGAGAAATTACTAATTATCACTGAGTATTTAAATTTTAAGGTGTATATGCTCAAATAGTGGCTTATTCTTGATTAGGTCCGCTCTGTTTCTCACTCATTGAAGGGAATATAATATAATTTAATCCAGTTCATTTATTAATATACTTAGCAGCAGACAGAACAATGCATCAAAAATAACAATATAAAATTAATATACAAATTACAAAAATATGATAACACAAATAGGAACAGCGTTTATCGTCAGGGATAATGAGGGCAGAGACAGTTTACAAAACGTTGGGTTGTATCGTCGTACATACGCCTGAGGATATTCATTACAGCGCCTCACCATTACAAAGATTAGTTTGTTAATTGTGTCTAGGGAAGTAATCACTATTTACTGAGTGTTATATGAAACTTATTAATACACTGTACTGGCAGAATTCAGAGTTATTGGAAGTTAATATTAATGAAATATGTAAGTTAACACTGTGACTTAAAAATTACATAGTGACCAATAAAATAGTAAATTTACCTTAAAAGACATCGTAATACATGTATAACAGAAGTTCGTATTTCAGTTTTCGTCAGAATACAGAAACGACTTCATGTAGGCCCTTAGGTAAAGATCGTCTAATGATGAACCAAACTGAGTCACAACGTAGCCCACGTTGTGGGGATCCATCACTTGAATTTGCACGAAATCGGTCTCGTACTTCGGTGTTGTTACTAAGGACGTATTTCTGGACGCATCTAAACATGATTATTGATGTATTCTTACATGGAATTGGTACGTTGAGAAATTCAGCCTTACAGTTTAAGCTTATTGTTTTGTATAACAACGGTAGATTGCATAATATTATTTTTTGATGGCGAGCCAGGAACACAAGTCTTCATTTCACTCTTACGAAGAGTAAGGGGCGGTTTTTAATGTCCGTCAGACTGAGAAATCAACCCTCACCCTCCATCTTAAAATTGGCAGGGTGTCTGGGATTAGAGATCATTAAATGTTACGAATGTATATCTCACTACTTCCAGTAGTGAGACGGGGTCTGATGGGAATGAGTGTTCATGTGATCAGTTTGATTTGTAATAAACGTGTTTCGTGAAGATATTAAAATGAAGCAAACTCTTTGCGGTGTAGCATTAAATAAATGAATTGAATTGAATTGATTTGAATTATTAATCTTGTCTTCTTCGTTAATCTAATTTGCTTTTTCGGATAATAAAAGTGCCTGCAATTCCGTAACATATTTTCAGAGAAATTACTAATTATCACTGAGTATTTAAATTTTAAGGTGTATATGCTCAAATAGTGGCTTATTCTTGATTAGGTCCGCTCTGTTTCTCACTCATTGAAGGGAATATAATATAATTTAATCCAGTTCATTTATTAATATACTTAGCAGCAGACAGAACAATGCATCAAAAATAACAATATAAAATTAATATACAAATTACAAAAATATGATAACACAAATAGGAACAGCGTTTATCGTCAGGGATAATGAGGGCAGAGACAGTTTACAAAACGTTGGGTTGTATCGTCGTACATACGCCTGAGGATATTCATTACAGCGCCTCACCATTACAAAGATTAGTTTGTTAATTGTGTCTAGGGAAGTAATCACTATTTACTGAGTGTTATATGAAACTTATTAATACACTGTACTGGCAGAATTCAGAGTTATTGGAAGTTAATATTAATGAAATATGTAAGTTAACACTGTGACTTAAAAATTACATAGTGACCAATAAAATAGTAAATTTACCTTAAAAGACATCGTAATACATGTATAACAGAAGTTCGTATTTCAGTTTTCGTCAGAATACAGAAACGACTTCATGTAGGCCCTTAGGTAAAGATCGTCTAATGATGAACCAAACTGAGTCACAACGTAGCCCACGTTGTGGGGATCCATCACTTGAATTTGCACGAAATCGGTCTCGTACTTCGGTGTTGTTACTAAGGACGTATTTCTGGACGCATCTAAACATGATTATTGATGTATTCTTACATGGAATTGGTACGTTGAGAAATTCAGCCTTACAGTTTAAGCTTATTGTTTTGTATAACAACGGTAGATTGCATAATATTATTTTTTGATGGCGAGCCAGGAACACAAGTCTTCATTTCACTCTTACGAAGAGTAAGGGGCGGTTTTTAATGTCCGTCAGACTGAGAAATCAACCCTCACCCTCCATCTTAAAATTGGCAGGGTGTCTGGGATTAGAGATCATTAAATGTTACGAATGTATATCTCACTACTTCCAGTAGTGAGACGGGGTCTGATGGGAATGAGTGTTCATGTGATCAGTTTGATTTGTAATAAACGTGTTTCGTGAAGATATTAAAATAAAGTAAACTCTTTGCGGTGTAGCCATGTGTTTCTGGTCGTGTGTATATATAGTTCTTTAAATGTTTTAAGTTACAGTTGTCTCTAATTGAACACAGTGACGTGTGTTTATCTTACTTTAAATGGGTTCAGTTTATTAATATTTGACCTGATGGAATTTGATCCAGTGACCTTGATTAAAGGTAAGGAACTGTGTTCAGTTAGGACATATGATTAGGTTTTCTATTCGAGGCTTGTCCGCTGCTCGTGGACGCATGTATTAATTTTTCCATATATTTTTGAAAAAAATGTGATATATATATATATATATCCAGGTATTTTATTACATACATACATTTTTTCGGTATTCTTTGTCTGTTTGAATAATACAAGTTTGCTGAATAGTGCCTCAAAGAGTGAGCTGTTTGTTGAAATTTAACCACGTTTTGGTGTCTTCTGCTATTTTACTCTATTACAGGCGTACGGTTTTAATATGTAAATACTTGTAACATATTTCTCAAAATTATTATATTTTCACAAAGTAGAATCTTTGCATTGAGAATGTACGTATTAGGCCTACTTGCGTTGTGATTAACTTCAATACTTTTTATTAAATACACTTGTTAAATTAAGTTTATAATAGCCAGCAAGTACTTAAGTGACTGGTACTAGTAAATGAAGTTGTATGGTAAAAGCTATAAGCAATTCAATAAATAATTCATAACAACCAGTTTTACGACTCTTTTGGACTTAACCTTTACATCCACGCATTATGGTAGGTGGTGACAAGTCATGTGTATTGATTTATTTTGACATGTTACTACTGCAAATTACGAGCCGAGAAATGTGTACCAGAAACTTATACATATTAACCCAGTAATGGTCGTTAATGTTCCACTGTTGCAGTCGCATATGTATTTACACAGGTAATGAACTGTAGAAATATTTCACTGCATGATTAAATACTGTGACAGAACTGCTCGCAACGAACAGTTAATACAGAATAAACTATTGTGTAATAGCGTTTAGTTAACAAAACAACAACAAAAATTAGAACTAGAAATGAAAATTCATAACGATAGGCTCTTAGGATAAAAAAGACGAATGCATTCTGCCAACGTTTGAGAAGTATTTGCTAATTCCATCATCAGGGCGATCAGTCTCGTCCTGATGATGGAGGCAGCAAGCACCTCTGAAACGTCGGTAAACTTCTACCACTTTATAAGGCGCAACAAACCAGAAGACAGTCATATTGAAACATTTTTTTACCCCGTATACGGGCTTCT